AGAGAGAGAGAGAGAGAGAGAGAGAGAGAGAGAGAGAGAGAGAGAGAGAGAGAGAGAGAGAGAGAGAGAGAGCGAGCACACACAGAGAGAGAGAGAGAGAGAGAGAGAGAGAGAGAGAGAGAGAGAGAGAGAGAGAAAGAGAGCGGCGATAATCAAACAAAAGTAGCAAGCACAGAGAGGGGAAGGGACAGCGACAGAGGGAGGGATGAAGGGTTCCACTACCTTGGTTAGGCAGCACAACGATGGAAGACTGGAACAAGGGGATTGGAAAATTGGAATTCCGAACGTTCGAGTTTGGAAATCGCGAATGTTGCGCGGGGAAAGAAAGACGGAGGCAGCAGGGTAAATCTCAAAATTGATCCACCTGATCAAAACATTGGATCTGGACCGTCGACAAAGACTCGACATCAATTTTTTCCCTTTTTCTTTTGCGGTTGACAATCGGAATTCTTTCTTCTTTTTCTCTTTCTTTCCGAGTTGACAATCAATTTGGCCAAATGCGCAGGATTGGAGACCTTGCGGCCCCTGCATTTGGAACCTTTTTCAATGCCTGGTGTATTTTGCCTTGGGCACTGGGCCCTAATGAAGGAGCTTCTTCGGCTACACCCCCCCCCCTCCGGATAGAACCCACAATTATTATGGCTATTCGCAGCCCGTCAGGGGTGCGTTTTCCCACCCTGAGACATTTTCGTCGTTCTTCATTATACTGGTGGTGGTTGATTCGGGCTCGTTTGGTCGTTGGAAGTTTCGAAAAAATGCAGGCAGGTGCAGGCACGACACTTTGGGTGGTGGTGGCAGTTTCTTTGAAAAATGCGGGACCGGGAGCTGCCCGTTGGACCCCACGCTTTGGTCCAAACGGTGGCAAAGCAGCGGCAGGGTGGAACTTTTGGGGGTGGTGGCAGTTTCTTTGAAAAATGCGGGACCAGTAGCTGCCCGTGGGACGGCGCGCTGGGTTTTGGTCAAAACGGTGGCAAAGGGGCGGCAGGGTGGAAAAGTGGAAAAGTCTGAAATCGGAAAGGGCGCGGCCTTGGCCGCAGGTTGAAACGACACACCTGCATTGCATTTGCAAGTGCATACTTCTAAACCTCACCAACAACGCCTCCTTTATCAATCAAGCATATACAAACTACGGGCTGCGCACCCGTGCCCTCACGGTCAGTCAATATCTGTAGACTGAAACTTCTGAAAGTCGCCCCATGAAGTTGCCCAAAAATAGAGCCAACCTACCCCGCGGGCTGGGGAGACTTCCAGGTTTGGTTGGTGTTCCCCTGTACTATACATAGAGTAGCGAGAGGATGAGATACATGACGAAAATATATACAAAGAAGATTGAGAGAAGAGTATAGATTAGTTTTTTTTTTTTTTTTCAATAGAGCTTTTTTTGTCTCTTTCTCTTTGGGGCTCGTTAGACACTCCTCGGGCACGTAAATCCCCCGAGGAAAATTTCGTTTCACCTGTCCTCGGGGATGAAAACGAAAAAAAAAAGTGAAAATATTTCCTTGGGTAATCCTCGGGGCGTCCTCGGGCTACAGCCATTTGGTGGCATTCCCCAAGGGACCTCCTGAGGTCCCTTGGAGGTCAAGGATCCATGATAATTGGAGCGGCGAGGGCACCCGTCATCGGCATGAATTTTTCGTCGGCTGGTCCATTGGAATTCCTACCGGGAAGAGCACGGACATCTTGGGTCTTCAACGTTCGGCTTCCAGAAACCTTACGCCAACGGTAACCGTTGGTGGCCGTCCGCCCCCCGCGGACGTCGTCGAACAGTGTTCTCCCTCGCAGTGCGTGCCGCTAAACAGAAAGGGGTCGAACGGTTGGCAAATTTGAATACTTCAGCCGACCCCCCTTGCTCCGATCGCCCACTGTATTCCACAATGAAAAACATTACAAGGCATTTCTCCCATGCTGGGGTCAGCGTTTGCAGCCCTCTTCGTTGTTTGCTGGAGGTATACCGTCGTCGTCTAGCTACTTCCCTTCCCTACTTGCCTTTCATGGCCGACGTTTTTCGAAGGCTGACGCTGCTGCTCCGGGTCATCCTTTTGCTTGTCCTTGTTGTCTTCTTCCACGTCTGCATCCTCGGCAAGGTGTCTGGACGTACATGTAAGAGGTGGTCTGCGAAGAAGGATGTCAGCATGGACGGGCGGCAGGCGAAGAGAAGGTCTTCAGTGGACCACTCCAGAAGCCACCGCGCACGCCACGGCCCAACTCGCAGTGCAAGGGTGTACGACCTATTAGAGTGCGTGTACCGTATGTTGTCCTCCACCGTTTGCTCCCTTCATCGTCGTCGTTCGGTGGACTTTCACCGTCGTCATAGAATTACAGGTATGTCGTATGTGTTGTTGATGGCTGACCTCTATTGAAGGTTGCCACTGCTGCTCGTAGTCACAATTTTGTTTGTCGTGGTCCTCCTGTTCCACATGTGCTTCCTCTATCATTGATGGCCAACCTCTATCGAAGGCCTCCAACAGAGAAGAGGAGGGATCGACACCGACTGCAGTCGACATCGACATCGGCAACACATCCCACGGGCGGTCGTCCATGCTGGATATAATCGCCATCACCCGAAAGACACGTGGTGGCGTACGCAACTTCTCCCAGAAGTACTCCTCCATCGCATCATCGCATTGCCTGAGATCCTCCCATGCCTCCCCCATCCTCCTTTTCATCCACCACCTCGGCGTCACTCGTGGAAGAACACTGCAACCCATGGCGCAGCAAACCTGAACTGCAGACTCGGTGATGGCTACGGTATCTAGCCCTTCGACCGAGACTTGATGAAGCGTCTTCCTCCTCCGTGCGCGGATTTGTGCTCTCATTCTGCCCAACGCCCTCTCTTGCTGACAACGAAAGAGCACGGTCGTCACTGTCGCCGCCATAGTCGTATTCTCTATTGTCGTCAACTTCGCACATCCGTCGTCGGCGATGGACCTTCACGGGGCGCTAAAAAATTTGTGACGATGAACGAGGACTCCACTGCGAATGCCCGTTTCCACCATCGCAGATATGGATGCCACCTGCCCCCCGCCGCCGTCGTGACGTCCAACACCCAATTTGAAATTTGATTTTCGAACGGGGAGGTAAGGGTTTTTTTTTTTCGGTTGCCAACGCCTTTCAAAATTTCCCGCATTTCGGAGTTGGACCACACTGTAGCAAGATGGACATCACCCAATGGACCAAGGCATTGGCCCCCCCGCGGCTGACTATAATATTATAAAAATGGCCGCCAACAACCGAAAGGAATCATCCTTAGGAGACCACCCCAAGGATAGGTGGAACGACGGCGGGAATTTCCTTTAAAACCCCCAAGGAAACTTCCCTCATCCCCAAGGACGCCCCAAGGAGTGTCCAACGAGCCTCGTTCTCTCAAATCATCTTTCGAATTCTTTCGATTCACCTTGATTGACTACCTACCTACCACTACTCCTAAGGCTTATACATGGGACCCCTCCAAACATAGCTTTGTTGTCTCCCTCCAGCCATCAGAGGGGATGCATGTTGCCCCCACATTTTTTTCTGTGTTTTTTCTTTTCTCCGCTCATTCTACTTGAAGGAGCCCCGTGAACCTTGGAAGTCTCCACTCTTTTCTTGGCAGATAGAGCCAGGTTCGAGTCTCACTAGCGGGGGCCTAGTTTAGTTTGGACACAATGGGCCTTAGCTCAACTGGTACACCCAATGAACGGTTGAAATACAGGCCCAAGTCCGAATCCAGGTGCAATCCAATAAACAAAATATAATAACTCCGAATTACCTTAGGCCAGTCAGGTCAATGATGATATCTCAAGGCCATCATCCATTATAAAGAACAAGTCTACCCGTCGCGGCAATGCCGCAGCTCAAACAGAGGGCAGAAGAGAAAACAAAGTCAACTGTGACACTTGCGCGCACGCGCAAGAGAGAGAGAGAGAGAGAGAGAGAGAGAGAGAGAGAGAGAGAGAAAGAGAGAGAGAGAGAGTGCACTCTACCACACGACACCATCCTGCCTATTTCGTTTTCGGGTCGAGTGTGAATGGACCACCTGCAAAATAGATAGATAGATAGATAGAGAGAGAGAGAGAGAGAGAGAGAGAGAGAAAGAGAGAGAGAGAGAGAGAGAGAGAGAGAGAGAGAGAGAGAGAGCACTTTACCACACGACACCATCCTGCCTATTTCGTTTTTGGGCCGAGTGTGAACGGAACACCCGCAAAACTCTACGTGTGTGTGTGTGTGTGTGTGTGTGTGTGTGTGTGTGTGTGTGTGTGAGAAAGAGAGAGAGAGAGAGAGTGCACTTCACCACATGACACCATCCTGCCTATTTCGCTTTTGGGCCGAGTGTGAACGGAACACCCACAAAACTGTGTGTGTGTGTGAGAGAGAGAGAGAGAGAGAGCGAGAGAGGCATCGCGCTAGCACTGGCAGCGATGAGTTCCCTCAATGCCTGAATGTGGAAACTCGACGGGATTTCTGTACATTTTCACAAACGCGTCCAGATTTGGCCGTTGAGGAAACTCAACCTCCCCCCCTCACAATATGACCATGCTCTCATGGCCGTGATTCACGTCGTGGTGGCGTTATGGTTAGACAGAAAAGAGCTGGAGACCCGACGGAAGCGCTTCGCGCACGCATGGCAGGTAAGGGCACTAGTACGCACCACGTCACGGGCTGACGTGGACGGCGTTCTCATACGCGGGAAGAAAGTTTACTGATGCCTTTTTGCGGGTGTCACGTATGGGTTCCATAATCGTAGCCTTTGCATATAGGCTACAGTTGGCTCGGGCGGGATCGACTGCGGTTGATCGTCGTTGGAACCGAGTGGAGTGAGCCCTTCTTAGTCAAAGTGTGCGTGAAAGCCCTTCG